TGTCAGAGCTCCGAGTTGATGCCTCACCTTTTCGAGCAGTTGAGATTGTTTCACAGACAGATCCCCAACCCTTCCACTCATGTTTTGGCTGGAAACCGCAGACAGACTAATCAATGCCGTGACCGTGTTGCACCTGCAGCCGACTGCGATTGACAAACATGTGCGCATGCGCAGTATCAATCAGGCAGACGTGCAGTTTTTAGCGTTTGCATTCTAATCAGCTTAAGAGGCTAAATGCTGTTAATATGCCATACAAAATGTAATTGATTTCATTTAGGCCCATATCCATTTTTTACACAAATATCACGATTGAATGCTCGATATTTGCAGAAAAACTTAGGGGTCATCCATTAGGCCTATTTGTTTTTTATCATCCCTTTCACAAGTCTACCTGCTAGGGCCTAGTAGACCTACCGGTACGCTGGTGTGGTTGGTGGCGGGGCCGTAGCGATAGTCCGAAGGTTCAATAGTCCGAAGGTTCATTGGTCCGAATGTTCACTATAGAACCTTCGGACCAATGAACCCTTGATTAAAAAATCGATGAAAATGTTACCACTTTTCGGACCAATGAACCTTCGGACCAATGAACCTTCGGACTATCGAGACGCCCCCGTTGGTGGCTGGGGGTATCTGGTAATGCCCTTTGTACGCTTTTGAAAGGTAATAAAAATGATGATCCAAATTGTTCTCAAAGGTCATCAGTTTTTGCTTTTCACTCTCTGAAGGGGGGGGGGGGGGGGGGGGGGGGAAGGGGGGAGGGAGACTGGAAAAATCCACTCTTTGTAGGCCTACATTGTCTTGTGAAAATAATGATAAAAATGGATGGCCCCCGGCCTTAGGCCTACATCACAGACCAACGACTAAAAAGGTTTATCAAAACTGTAACACAGTTATTTTGACTGCTCTTAAAAGATCGTATAGGCTTATATCATGTTATGTACTTAATTATACCTACACCTGTAGGGGGCCTACAATCTAGCCTACGCGCAATCCTAGCTATATTTTTCTGTTAAAAAGAATTTCGTCCTTAGGCCTATCCGGAGTGTGCAGCGAGTATTCAGAGTAGGCCTTTTATCTTATTCGAATGAGCCTGTCTAAAATATTATCTTCTCTATAATATAAAAAGCGCTTGGGTCAATTTACACTTCATTGTCTAAGTGAAAACCAAGGCCAATGTTTAGTAGGCCTAGTTCATTTCAGCCTTGGACCGACTTTCTGACCACAGGATGCGCTAGTGGTCTGATACAATTATCTTTATCGCTCATACTTAAATTTTGTATACTATTTTAATATCAGAGGGTGCCTTGGGGCCAGCATATAGGGCCTACGTATTTTCATGATGGCCGGGTCCAAGGTCCAGCTGCCGGTTCCTTACATTAGCCTATTGCGTCAATTGTCCAAGATAAGGGACTTTTCTCTACTACCGCATTCAATTCTCTCACCCATCAAAATAAGATGTAGGACCTCCTGCACATAGTAGGCTATATCGGCGACTGACTTCATAATCGGACAAACACGGGTAATCCATTCACTACTTTCATCAGGCTATAATATTGTTTGACCCAAATTTCCTTTTTTAGTTTTTATTCACGTTTTTTTAACTTTCCAAATCCCAAATCCCAACCTTACAAAAAGGTACAGCCTTTGAGTTGTGGTAGAAAATAAAATCTGGACAGAAGCGCTCAGTAATTTCATTTTACAACAAAACCTAGTTGAAAAAAAAAAGAAAAAAATTTGAAAACAAACGAATAATCAATAAATTTCCTCAGGGATTAAAACTAACGAAATATGATCGACAGATCTATAACGAATTTTTAAATACAGTGAAAGGCCTAGCGCTGCAAATGAATGGTATAAATCAGTTTTTTTGTTCATATAGGCTAAAAGCCTTATTTTCATTAAAAAAAACGCAAAATCTCAGCAATACCATGTAACAGGGGCGGATCCAGGATTATTTGAAGGGGGGGGGGGTCCGCGGATGCGAAGCCGACCTCCCCCGTGGGGTTCGGGGCCCTTTGGCGGGCCCCGAAAATTTTTGGTATTTTAGAGGATGAACGGTGCTATGATTCAGCTGGTCAAAATTCTAATTTCAAGAGGAGACCATTGGTGTGATTTTTTCAGAAATCGAAGGGGGGAGGGGGGATCAGGACCCCCCCTGACCCCCCCCCTAAATCCGCCATTGTGTAACCTCTCCGCTTCTTGCTGTGCTGGAAAATGCTATTTGAACACTTATTGTAGGCATAATAATTAGTGAATATGCAAGCTTTTAGCAGAGTGACAACAGATAAAAAGACCACATCTGACTATCTTTATTTACCTTTTTTTCTGGACAAATTGTTTTGGCATATAGTAACTGAATAGGAAAATGCACTATTAGCCACAATTTTATAGATAAAGTTACACAAAAGGCAGTATACCAAGGGCCAGTCAGCTGCTTTATTATTTTTTCAAATTGTTTACTCAATACACAAACCAACACATTTCTAAATTTTATTTCCTTTGGCTTCGATTAGCTGTCGATGCGACACAAAATGCAGTGGTTTAACAAAATTTGGAAGGGTTGACATTTGGGAGGTACTGTTTGGAAAACTCCTTCATTTATCACAATGATATCACCTTTACCAAATTTCGCCTTTACAAATAGATGAATGAGTAAAGAAAACAACTACAAACTGAGCAACAAACCAAAAGGAAATGTTGACGCTGAAGCACAACCAAAACTTCATGCCGGGAAACTGAGTGCAACATAACTTATGGTTCCTTGTGAATTTAGAGTGTACTTATGCTATGTGTAATGGATGTCTGAACTAGAATAACTCTAACAATATTTTCACTGTAGTCTCCAGTTGCTTTATTTGACCACTTCTGTTGAAAAATAACCAAAAGGAGTTCCATCAAGGAGAATTTAAGAATAAGTGTGTTTGTCCAACTGCATACGAAAACTGAAAGCCTTGTTTGTTTGGCTTCGATTTTGTACAAATATCTGACACATGAATAGCACGTCACATACATTTTTCATATTTGTTAAGCAGAAACACAAATAATTTTAAGTGCTAAGATATTCATGACGACATGAATTTTGCATTTGCTTCACCGATGTGAACCAAAAATGTAACTGCTGTGGCTTTAAAGAAAGTCACTTCCTTTGTATATAGTTTGTTGTTGCAATTTAAAGGCAGTTTTTATTTTGAAAGTGAGAAGTTGATGCAAACGCAGTCACTAAGGTAGGTCGTTGTAAGGTCTAAGATTTTGTAGATCAGCTAGGTTCTTCTGAAAATTGCTGAACGTTATAAAATATTATACATACACAAATCGCTACCCAGATATGCTGTTCACGATGTTTCAAATCAAGTTTTTTTATAAAAAGAGAGAGGACATGTAAACGTTCTATACACGTGATTACTACAGATTGAATAAAGCGATTTACATTAAAGTGCAATAAACCATGACGTCAAGTTTGTCCAGTTACCGGTTTTGTCATTTAGAAAGTGTTTATTTTATACCCTATCATACCATCATTTTTTTTTTTCATAAAACAAGAATGACGTCATCACATCGCGTCCAACGCACAAACAAGCAATTAGAGCGCACGCAGCAAGCGAATCGTCTGGCTGACAGACAGCTCGTCGAGAAGCTTGAGGCACTTCATTTGTCGGAGAAGACGCGTTTGCATGAAATAAGAACGGAAAATATATTGCTTAAAATGGAGTTACGTGACAGTCAGTGTCGAGAATTGATAACTGCATTGAAACGCCAACTTCTTTCTAACAATGACGTTGCGATGAACACTCAGTCCCCAAAAAGGTCTACCATCCGTCGTAGTGGAGAAGAACGCATCGAAGACAATAAATCAGCTGAAATTGATCGGCGCTGGAAAAAATTGCCTATATTGAGCAGCCAGCCACGGATGCTTTTTCAAAGTTTGCCTCCAAACCCAAGAAAATATTATGATGATGGCGATAGCGACTCTGATGCGTCATTTAGCAGTTTTTATGAAAGTGAGTCAGACGATCAGGATGGTTCTGACGATTCCCGATCGATGACGAGACAAGTCATACGTCAAGTGAGAGAAGCGCAAACCGCACCAACTTTAAGACGACTTCCAAAAATATCCGCAAAACTCGGAAAACTAAAAGCCCCCCAAAAATATAAACTAACGAAAAACGAAATTAAGGTTGGGCCAAAAGAGTCCAAAAAACGTAGAAAAAGTTTAACTTGGAAAGATCAACCACAATACAAGAAACTTCTCGAATCTATGGAAAAGTACGATCACTTTACAGATGGCAGCATGGCTCTAGCGATGCGCCGTTATGAGCACAAAAGGAAAGCGTCTCTCCAGCCTCCAGCTGGACATCTTCCCGTTCGCAGGAGACGCAGTATGAGCAATTACTTGCACAGAACGAAGTCGGCGGAATCCGACTCGGACAAAGAATACGACACCACGCCATTTACTAATAAACCTCGCAGTGCAATAGCGTCTTCTGGGGAACATCAACAAAATGAAGTCCAATCGTCACCCGACTTCAATAAAGGACCCGTAGGAATCTCGTCAACCCTGAGAAAAGTGTATATTCCACAACAAGAACAGGATTCCGCCAAGAAAGAGTATATAAAGAATATATCAAAGCTTTGCAAGGCAGACCAGATTCAGAAATATAACCGTGTTCAGGATAAAATTCGAGAATTTCTTGGAGGAAAACTTTTGGCCAGCGTACCAGATTTAGAACCCCTTACTGCAGAGGAACAGTCTATGTTGACTTTGCTCAGAGCGTCTAGGATGTGCAAAAAATAAATTTGGTACAGAAATGCACTGATTGACTATGTAGAATATAGCTTGCACTATATTTTTTGTAATAAGTGGTAATTTGCTCTGGGCAATAGATACGGTGAAAATCATTATGAATCTTTTAATTCAATCATTATAGATAAGTACATGTATTTTTAAAGTTCAAACACATTACATGCTTTATGTTTTATTTTAAATATTGCATAACAGAATAGGGCAAATTTGTAAATTATTATTAAATAAACCAAATATAACAAAAAAGATGTTTTAACTAATGAATATCATTTGGCAATTTTTTGGTATTCCACCTGGAGTTCTACAAGGCTGACAAATTCAAAGGCAACGTCTGGAATAGTAGCAATTTTAGTCAGATTTTTAATATATAAATGTATCTTTTGGTTCAAATTTGCTGAATAAATTATTAAATAAAACAATTAAATAAAGAGCAGTTATGGCATTCCTTTCTCTTGTTTCTCTTCAAGTCTTGTCTGATCAGATTTGATGAAAGAGACTGTTCAGTTTACACTATGACTTGGAGAAATTGTAAATGGTTCAAGTTGTTCTTCAGGGGGAAGTAGTTTGTTTAGCTGTTCCATCTGACTCAATGTGTACTCGACACTAGACTTAATGCGTGTTAAAGTTGTAGTCATTTCATGGACTTTTTGCAGTTGTTCAGCATATTTGGCATACTTTTTCTGGCGCTCTGTGACGATTCCCATGATGGTTCTTATGGCAAAGTCAATCTGAAAAAAGGAAAAAATGTGTATACATTAGAGCTTAAGATTAAATTTCAACAATCCAATGAAAAAAAGGAAAAGAAAAAAGATTGTTTGTTACAATGAATGAATTGATCTTACAAATATTTTCTTCAAAAAGTTACTGAATAAGCAAATGTATCAGAAATTATTTTGTGGATCTAAAATAGAGGCAAAATGGTCTCAACTAATTCAGTTGATAAAATATGTTTTTCAGATACATGAAATAATACATGTAAAAGATCTCTCACCAACCTCTTTGATACGCACACTTAGTGCATTTTGATCAAAAGCTACAGCCTCAGCACACTGCTTTAGATGTTCCTGATAACGTAAACACAACTCTAACACAGGTCCATAATCTAATTTGTCTCCAAGCTCAGTCTCCTTTATATTAGGTATGTTCAGAGATCCTCGAATTACAGGCAAAAACATGGGAATGGTTTGTAGTTTAATTAGTTCTGGGTCTATGCCTGGTTTTTGACTGACACCCTCCGCAACAACTACTATGTCATGTTTTGGGCCACCACCTCCACTGCCACCACCAGATGTCGCTGCTGTCCCTCCACCCTCTGTACTCTCTGCTGAACCAGCAGACTTGCTGCGTAGCTTTGGAGATTGCTTTGGAGCATCTGAGAAAACAAATGAAATTTTCAGTTAGTCAGTTGGGATCAATGCCACAACAACTTGTAATTATAGTGTAAGTAAAAAGCTTTCCTAATATCACAGTGACATTTATATCCATGATATTCTTCAAGATCTGAGGGAAAAAACTAGGAATATTTCAAAAACAAATTACAAATATCTTTAAAAAAGATATTGGCAGACCACTCAGCTACCCCAGTGTATGAAAATTCTTCACTACAATTCAACTTCTCAACACAAAATTTCACTTGAATAAAAACTGCCCTGCTTTATCTTACCATCTATTGGTTTGCTGATGGAGTAAGACGTGTATGGGATATCTTCATCTCTCTGTGATTTCAACTGGCTGCCAGCAGGGCCACTCACCGGGCTGCTTTGTTCACCTCCCATCAATCAATAACACTGAAAATCATGATTTAGTCATATACTGTAAAATTTGATTTGGTTGATTTGAATGAAATGGTCACACTATAGATTCAACATATATACTGTAATTTTATTTGCCAAAACACCATGCAATAGAAAACATTCAACTAATGTTGCATAAAACAATTCTTTAAACAGGCACACAGTACAACATATATTTTTTTATTTAAAACTTTAAAACTTTTGAATTAAAAATTTTGAAGTTAAAACTTCTTATTTCAGTCTTTTTAACTAGTTAAAATTAAAACATGTTCCTGCATGCTTCAAAGCAGTCAATACCAAAAGCATTTTAATTAGCCTACTGGACTTTCAGGACACCAGGGTCTAAAAATCTCCTAGGCCTAAGTAGAAATAAAGGTCCCTAACAATATTTGCAGGAATGTAAATATTTTTTAGCCAAGCAACATTACCTGTAGTTTTACTAGCATTTTGCATTGTTCCATTAGAAACATGGTATTTTAAAATATGAAATAGTCCCCAGTTTTTCAAAATTGTCAATCTAAAAGTCCTTTACTATGAAATCCATTAAACTACATCAAATGATATACGACATTTTCATTAATGATAATGACATTTTGAGAGCGTCATTGCTACTACATGTACCCGTGTAGTAGGGCCTACTGTGGTACATGTACCGGTGTGGCGTGTACCGCCCGGAGCGTGAACCATCCGTTCTGCTCATGCGCACAAAGCGCAGGCAAATCTGGGAGACTTCCGGCGTGTACAGTCCGTCTCAATAGAGTCGTCAATACATTCTTAGCCTTTAATAAACATGTGCTGTTGAGAACATACTGCATATTCAAACATAATCTTTAGAAGTATTCATATCTTATAGATGTTCACCTCTACTGCTATTTCTCTCAGGTGGCCATATCAACACACTAGCCTAGTAAAATCAATACTAAAATAGGAGCCAGCTGCTGAATAACGACGGCCCGTCCACGGTATGTTCATCCATGCGTCGAACTGTAATTTGACGCTGATTCTCTATGAAAATTATCAATTAACACATGAATTTTATCCCCATCATAGTTAATGTATAATGAGGTAGGAAATGAACTAGCCAAATATAACAGTACAACGGACCATTCACGGAACGGCTCATACACGCTGCTGCTGCGTGTACAATCGGTCAGGACGGATGGTTCACGCAGAACGGACCGTACACGTGACACCGGTAGTAAAATGTTTTAACAATGNACGTGGGCCAGATCTCTGAGGCTGTCTGGGTTACCTGTAGTTTTAGTAGCATTTTGCATTGTTCCATTAGAAACATAAAATATGAATTTAGTCCCCAGTTTTTCAAAATTGTCAATCTAAAAGTCCTTTACTATAAAATTCATTAAACCACATCAAATGATATACGACATTTTCATTAATGATAATGACATTTTGAGAGCGTCATTGCTACTACATGTACATGTAGTAGGGCCTACTGTGGTACATTTACCAGTAAAATGTTTTAACAATGTACTGGTGTATGATCTCGATCTCCACTATTTATTATTTGCAAGGATCATTTTTCATAGTGTGGGTGAGTGTGGCGTCTTTGCCTATGATTGTGTAGCCTATGATTGTGTAGTTAAACGTTTTGCATTTACTATTTGTATGAAATAAACATTACAAATACATCACAAACTTACCTCGATCTGTCAATACTTCCTCTAATTAGGTCAAGGTCAGGTGCGCCGAAGTTTATAAAATTCACATCCGGTACAGTTGATGCCAACTTTTTGTTGACAAATAACACGAGCAGCATTTTGAGCCACTTCCGTTGACTTGAGTAAGTTGAACTTTTAATTCGAAGTTAGGCTGAATAATCACCTTTGGCAGCGATTTTTGTATGATCATGATCTCCTGTTTTGCTCTTCCTCTGGATCTCCGTTGATCGAGTGAAGTGGGATGCAGGAGTTTGGAAATCATATTAATAAAATAATTGAGATTGCATGCTGCTTTATTTAGCCGTAGGTTCTCACACTTTCATTTTTCCTGTAGTGAACAGTTCTTCGGCTTCAAGTATATTATGAAATGAGTAGTGAAAAGCGCCGGCGAGTAAGGGTCCAGGGAGGCTGGGCTACTTCATCAGGTCCCAGATCTGACCAACACAAGCCTAAACCTCACACAGAACCAGCGTGGCTTGGGAAGAATGTAGATCAACCTACCGAGAAAAAGTTTGTGTTCCAGAAACCAACAGAGGTGTGTATAAATGATTAATTACACAAGGAATGCTGAAACTATATGAAAATAAATTAATCAATGTGACTATAGTTTATTTTTGTTAATAATGCAGCGCCATATTTCCTTTTGAAAAAAGTTAATATATAATAAAGAAATAGTTGTTGTTAGTAAATATATCAGTCTTAATGTTTTTTTCTGATTTCAGATTGAACATGTATTAATAATACATTATATGCTTTATCCTTGCAGCTTATTCGGGAAAAACCAGAAGAAGAAACAATTATGTAAGTTTAAGCTATGTCTTATGAAAAACTGAACTGTGAAGTTTCATGGAAATATTTCTGTTTACACTTTCATATTTGCAGTCATTCAAAGTTCTTAGTGAATTTGATGGTGTTTCCTTGTCGGTTATACCTATTCCTTTTAAGTGGAGGAAGTGTTTCATCTAGCCACATTTTAGTTTAGATGTAGGTTTTTAATTTTATCTCTTCATTTCAGAAAACCAGGGGTATATGATGTAAGTGAAGGGCCAAGTGGACTGTCTAGGTAAGTGATTGCATCTAATCAAACAATTTGTGATCAATGTACACATATTTTCACTTTCAAGAGTTCAGTTTGTTAAAGATACAATGCATAATCATGAACCAAAAAGAAATAGCGTATTAATAATATTTGTAAATCATTTCAAAGAATAAGTACATGTAACTAGATAAAATAATTATTTTAATAAAACGCCACACATGATCCAAGCATACAAAATAACCAATAGCTTTTTGAATTCAAATTCCAGGTTAAGACTTTTCCCAGTATTCCTAGACCCTAAAGAGGCTGATTGGATGTTTGATGAACTTTATCATGAGTTACCATGGCGACAAAGAAATGATCTCAAGATAAATGGAGAAAGCTATGCACAACCAAGGCTTACAGCTTGGTTTGGAGATCTTCCATATTCCTATTCTGGCCTGACCTGGGACCCTAACCCTAATGTAAGTGTCCTTCTGATAAAGTCTTGGCATCTCAGGATTTATGGAAAATGGACTGATTTGTTTTCATGTTTAATTGTAGTGCCTTTTTATTGGAGAGAGGGAGTCTTAATGATTGGCCAATGATTTGGAATGATATAATTTTTTGACAGAAAACATTGGCAACAACTTGTGTTCATTCTGTTTTTTTTTCATTCATGGCTTGAAGTAAACTAAAATTTGCATCAACTTCTAGTAGCTTTCCAACAAATATATATATATATATATATAATAATGGGACCATTATCTCTTACTTGACTGTAAAAAAAACTTAAATAAAATAATAAACATGAGAACACAAAACAAGAACTTCATGCTGTTAAAATTTTTGCATATCTCCTTATTCTAGTGGTCTCCTCTGCTGACCATGTTGAAGGACAGACTGGCAGAAGTGACAGGCTACACATTTAACAGCATGCTGGGTAATTTATACCGTGACTGCCATGACAGTGTGGACTGGCACAGTGATGATGAGAAGTCATTAGGACATCATCCAACCATTGCTTCTCTGTCATTTGGTGACACAAGGAACTTTTTACTAAGGAAGAAACCACCACCTGTGAGTCTTTGCTGTTGAATTGGATTAATGGTGTTTTGTTTAGGGTGAATTTGTGTGTGTTTAGCTATACTGTATATAGAAGTCAGGCCAGTGTCTCATTGCATCATGTTATAAATACTCGTTAAATTACATTATAGCTTAGAAAGTATATTGCTTAAAGGGATAACTCTTCGTATGAGATTTATATTTCACAATAAAAACATTGCGAATTTCTCCTAGAAATATAATATATTCTGTTTTACCACAAGAATGGCAGTTATAGCTATTATTCTGATATCTTAGCCTGTCTTTACCATGTGACCTCCATTGATGGCTATACTCTGTTAAAATCTCTTAAGAGATTTTAACAAAAAAACAATCTTTTTAGAAAAAAACCAGGGACTATTTTTGAATATAAAAATGGATTCATTAACCATTGGTAAGTATGGGAAAATTGTTGTTTACTCCAGGAAAATTCATTTTTTGGCCGAAACGAAGAGTTATTATACCTTTAATTGTAATAAAAGGTGTTATATGGTTACAGTCTACTCTTCTGAATAGCTAAGCAATTTTAACTTTTTTGCATTTTCATAATTATCATTGTCAGACAATATGTGGTGCACATTTTAAATTGAAAAGTACGTATTGCAAAACTCTACTGAAAGAGCTTTGCTACAGTAATTTTGTTATTATTGTCAGGAAGAAAATGGTGACTACACCTACATGAGGCACATTAAAATCCCACTGGCTCATGGCAGCTTGCTGATCATGGAGGGTGCCACCCAGGAGGACTGGCAGCACTGTGTTCCTAAGGAATATCATGACCGTGGACCCAGGATAAATCTCACTTTCAGGACTATATATCCAGAATGATGTAGTTGAAATGAAAATGCGATAATTCCAAGCTGAAGCTCTTATTTTTATCTCTATCTGATAAAAGCATGGGTTTTTGTGATCTGCTTACAGACCTGCAGTGAGTTTTGAAGCTTGAAAATGTTAGTGTTTGCTACGTTTTGAGCATGGTGTACTTGCAAAATGTTTTCAGTACCTTGTTTTTATGACACGGAAGCCACATGTGAAACTGAAATTGTTTTTAGAATCTTGACCTTTTTTGGTTTGAATAACATTCAAACCCAATAAGAAACTGAAGAATGGTGCAGTGTTAATCAAACAAGACTATTAAAGTTGTGGAATTGGGTAATGGTCTGAGATTTGAACTCTAGTCATGCTGTGATGGTATTTTTCTTCTCCATTTTATTATTACATACATTTTGTAAGCATGCTGGATATGCTTGCATACAAGTGGGAATAATGGTCATTAAATTGCTACTTTTTAAAATTTAGAAATGTAGGAGATATATCAGTTCTTTCCTTACATTTTAAGCCTATGTATTTTTCCTTTAATAAAGTCCATTTTAAAATCCAAATTGTTTCGCGATTTTGTATGCTGAAAGCAAAGCATTAAACATTAAACAATTATTTCTAATGCATCTATTCACTTATTGTGAAGGATAATTTTTTCCTTTCTCTCATAACAAAAGTTAATGTAGTGAACATTTTTTTTCAAATATATTTTTATTTTTGTTACACAATAATCCTAGAGAAAACAGTGTAGTCATATTCTTTAATGAATTATTTAATAGAGAAAGGAGCTATATTATGTACTTTTACATAAGTTGACATGTAAGATAAGTGGCAGTATAAACAAATCACAGACTTGCAAAGGGAACACAGATAATGCAGTTTTTCCTGGTGTTCAATATCAGGCCCATAGCCAGGGGGGGTTTCAGGGGGTTCAATGAACCCCCCTTTTTGCTGGGAAAGGGTCCACTCTGGGTAAATTTGATATAGGAAAACTAAGGTTTCTTGACAAAAGGTCCACATTTACAGAAAAGAACCCCCCTTTGGCAATTGCTGGCCTGATTATTCATGTATATCATGGAAATGCTACCTTAACATTTAGCAGATCAAGAACGTGAGAATCATGTAAAGTCAGCTACATCTGTGCATTTCCTATTCCTTGTCTAGTGGCAATTCCCAGTCTAAATCTGCTACTAATCCATGCAACCCAAACTGACACAAAATGAACAGCTAAAATGTCCTTCACATTTACACTTTTTAGAAAATAAATACTAGGCTTTTAATACACGAACACATTAGAGCTCACTTAAATCTGAAAATGACACCAGACACCAATGCAACATATAGTGATGTGATTATTTTTTGCTGAAAGAGACTTTAAAAAGTTTTACATACCTTATGATAAACTGTCACAACATCTCAACTACATGCCCCAAACCTTTAATTAATCACAATGATTACATGATACTTGGTTTGTTTGAAGACACAAAGGCAGAGAAATACTAAATTATATTTTCTGGTAGGTAGAACACCTCACATAATGATGTAAATCATAATATATCACAGATTGCTATGGATGGATTCCACTGCTACACATCACGTAGTAAAATTCACTGCCAGGCCTGCTTCTTTCCAAATTTCTGAAAGACAAATAGATATTGACTTATCTTTCTACTTACTCAAACTGATTTCTTCTAGATGAGACAAAGTGAATGATGGCAAAGCTTAAAAAAGTTTATGTTCATTTTAAGTAAAACATTATGGAGAATTATTACATCACAACAGTAATTGAGTCTCATAATAAAGACATGGAAGTATCTGGGCTAAAAAGAGGTTGTATTTTTTTTCAGTCTTCAGAGATATACCAAACTATGCATAGATCACTTAATTCCTCACCTTTGGTCCAAAGCCTCTTATATTCATTCGTTCAGCTTCACGCCTGAGCATCTCTTCATAGTCTTCTTCTGCCTTCTTTTCCTCTGCCATTTCTCTCAGTAGTTGATCTTGTGCTGAGATCTTCTGTTCCCTTCGACTTGTCATCTAAACACAAAGCAATGAATATAGCAGCAACACACACACACACATTTATCTGCATGGTTATGACAAGACTATAGAAAATATAAAAACTAACTAAACTACTTTGAATTTGTGTCACAATAAAGGTTTCACCTCTTTGTATAATTAAAGGGATAATAACTCTTTGTTTTGGCCAAAAAATGAATTTTCCTGGAGTAAATAACAATTTTCCCATACTTACCAATGGATAATGAATCCATTTTTACATTCAAAGTTAGTCCCTGTTTTTTTTTTCTAAAAAGTTTGGTTTTTTGTTAAATTCTCTTAAGAGAATATAACAGAGTATAGCCGTCAATGGAGGTCACGTGGTCTGAAGACCAGCTCAGATATCAGAATAATAGCTATAACTGCCGTTTTTGTGGTAAAACAGAATATACTATATTTCTGTGAGTTATTCACAATGTTTTTATTGTGAAATATAAATCTCATACGAAGAGTTATTATCCCTTTAACTCTCACAAGGAGGTTAACAACCATTTCAATGTCACATCACAATCCTGTTTGTAGAAACACTGAAAAACTATTCTTTACCTGTGCTTGTAACTGTTGTTTTCTTTCTGTCTTCAGTTTCATCTCTTCCTCTTGTTCTCTCCTTGTCATTTGTTGTGCTATGTCTAACTCCCTCAGCAGTTCCTCTCGCCTTTCTAGTGACTCCTCCTGCTTCTTGCGTATTTCCTCCATGCGATCCTCTATCTGCTCTTGTCTGCCTTGTAATACCTTTCAACAAAAAACAACTTATTTAAGACGGGATAACTTTTTTACTACTGTACTCATATTTGATAACCTAAGATAATTCATTTTAACTTAAAGTCAATCATGGTTTGATATATTACTATGTACCCTGCTTAAGAATGCATTACCTCGTTCATTAATCGTTCCCTCGCCTGTCGCTCTCTTTCCCATTCTGCTTCTCTTTTCTGCCACATCCTTGACGCTTCATCCCTGAGAAGAAAATAAAGTTTTGGATATAGAAAACCTTAGATTGAGTTTCTGTAACACAGTTTAAGAAAACTTACAATTAGTCAAAGAACTGAAAATGTAATCATTACATGCTGCATTAGATATTAGATAAGTTTAATTTCCCTGACCAATTCCAATCTGAAACATGAAAGTATACTTATTTAATAGGTATATAAATTCAAAGCTTTATAACAAGGCAATAAATATAGCCTACTTACTGATAAAGCATGTCCAGTTCTGCCTCCCTTGCTTTTTCCAGACGAAGTTGTTCATCAATTACCTGAAACCAATGATCACAAGAGAGTTATCAATGAACACCCTACAATGTGATGTTTTCAACACTGCAGTATAGAATAAAAATAACTAATTATCTGCATTTAAAACCTTAACCAAATTTATTGTTTAAAGGATGTTGCACAGAAAAAATTTTGGAATTTGTTATAATATGTTATAACCAGCACATCATTTCCCCACATCTCACCCAACACCAAATAAAGAAATTGGACAGCGCACATCTATCCTTGTTATTATTACATACAAATATTTGAGAATAGAAGGTTCTGCACCTAGATATCACATTCTTATGTAAAATATATACCTGCTTCATCCAAGCAGCATCTGCTCTTGCCTTCTCTTTTCTTGCTGTCTGTAACACCCGGTCTTCTTCTGCTTTCTCAGTTAGAGCTTCTAGTATTCGGCGATCAAGTTCCTTGAAATAAGTTTATGAAGTATAAATAAACACAATGACAGCCAAAGTCTTCATCAAAAATGTTACAAAACTTGCAAATGGTGACATGCATATTTGTTCTCCTCAGGGATAAATATGACTAAGACTTAATGAAATAAGAAATATACTTTAAAAAATTACAAATGACTAAAAATATGAAAAATTAATTAACTATATTGTAATGAAATATGTTCTAGGGTGACTATTACCACAAATTTTGAAGGTCCTTTCGTGACAAATTTACAACAGATGTCCCTTGTTATTTTTTAATTGCGACTTGCAAGACTTCCCCCCCCCCCTTTCCACCCAAATAAAAAACTAGGTGGATATCCTGAATGCTATCTGTATTTGACAGTCCATTCATGCATCTTAATATATTTATCTCAGTAATTCAGCATAGTATAGCTCAATCAAATTATATTTCGTCTATTTGGATTCTTACCAACTGTTCCTGAACTTGTTTGGACCTTTGAAGTAGCTTAGCTTTATGTTGACGAAGCAAAACACGTCTGTAAAAAAATATCCAAATTTGCTTAAACTAAATGTCATGTAAGAAATTCAGTTTATGTCACCACTTAACAGGTCTTCACATGTAAACAAACACAAAAGTTATAAATAGTGATGCCATACACGTAAAAAGGTAACTGACCCAAATTCTTCTTTTTTCCTAATCTCATCCATTTCTTTTCTTTGGTCTTCTAATTTCTCCAGCTCCCACTGCTGTTTCTGGAGCTCCTCTGCTTGGAATTTTAATCTTTCAGCCTTTATGAAATAAAACAAAGAATGTCAATGTCTAACTGAGACCTATAATAATACTACTGTAATACATTATTCTTTTTACCAAATTCATGATGTGACCTGCCTTGCATCTTTAAATATCTAGTGCTGCCTGATATCCTTTGTCTAATATTAAATGTTTTTATCCTTACCTCACGTTCCCTTTGCTTAAGCTCTTCAACCTGATCTCTCAGCACTGATTTTAATTTTTTCTCCTCTTGAATCTTCTCCCGCTCTAACTCCTGGTCAAACTTTAAAGCTGCCTGACGCTCTTCTTCCATCAACTGCTCGTACAATGCCTTCTCCCTGATCTCTTGTTCTTGTTTCTTTAATAGACAAATGAAAATACAAATTGTGTTTTCATGTTACTGAATCAGATGATGATCAAGTTATTATGACATGCTACAATCAGTGTTAAAATTTCACAAGTAATAAAGGTGTTAATGCCAATCACTTAAATGAGTTGGGGAAAAATTTAGAAAATTATGTATTCATTTGAGTGAAAAAATTTTTTTCTGGAAATGAAATATAAATCTTAAAGGATTGCAATTATTTCAAGAAGCCATTACCCTCTTCTGTTCCTCCACTTGTCCTTCCCACTCTTCAATCACCTCTTGTTCTCCCGCCCTGGACTCAAGCTAAAATAGATTTTTGATTGTTAACAAGTGGACAATGCAGCAGAACAAAACTAGAGACAATACCAGTTTAGTAGTGTCATTTTCTACCTCTGTGAATCAAATTGGCATTTTCTTAAAATCCTGAAATCAGCCTATTGCTTTAAAAAAGAAAGACATGCCAAACATACTTATCATGAATGGTCAAGTAATATTTAAAAGAAGGTTTTATATGTAAGGATACAGCAATCAATCACTCAATCAATCAATCAACACAAAAACAATTAAAATTAAAACGATAATACCTCTCTGAGATCTGGGTTATTTTTCCTGAAGTGATCATACAATTTCTCTTCAGCCAACTGTAAATTAAAACATATAAAAAAGCTCATCAGTTTGTCAATTACCATTACACATATTACTGTGCAATTATTATGTTTGGATTATTGACTTGGAAAGTGTTTGTGTGATAAGTTCAATACAAAATAGAGAGTTCCACATATTTATCAGAATCTATCAACTAACATCACACTTCAATAACTTTCAGTAAAATAACATTTTTACCTGCTTCCTCTTCTCTTCTCTCGCACTTCTTAGATTCTCACTCCTTTCTTTCATATCAGAAATTCTATCATAATTATCAGCTGAATATCCTCGTAATTCTGCCTGAAAAAGATACACAATGCACAATAAGCTCTTTGCCTTCTGCAGTTCAAATAATATCAATTTTACAAACATTTTCAGCTTTATAGTTTCAGCAGGCAATGCAAATAATTAGAATCATTATTAATATTTAAAATTAAATTTTTGAAAAGATTTTTCTTTACTGAAATAAATTCACTCAGATATTATTATTGCAAATCTTGCATTTTCACTTCTTGTTAAAATGTATGCTATATCTTAGCAGAAGCACTAATCTAAAAAGCTGTAACATGCTTTTGAGGAATAAGAATACTTTATTGCAAAAATAAGAAGATGTGAGCCAACAAAAATCTCATGGTCTGGCCCCTTACAGATAACAGATATTCTCTGACTAATAAAAGAAAAAAGGTGTATTCAAAACACTTATGTAAAATAATGAGTTTTAGGTGTATTACCTCCAACACATCTCTTTCTTTCTGCAGCATGTCTGTCAACTTAAGCCTTCTCCGCTTTAAATTCATAGCTTTGATTTCTCTGTTGTGTTGAGATTTATAGGCATCCATGCTGTAAAATAAGACTACTATAATGAGTGCAATCATCATCTTTTTTTACCCTGTTCACATATCAGATAATGCATTCTTCAATTTCTAAAAGTTTTCTTTTCTTTGCTTTGTCTCATGTTTGCAGGATTCAGTCTTCATAAATTTTCATACATCTATCTGATTGTGAAACTGATAAACCTATGCTCTAGTTCTTCAGTAGTATTATAAACTGTACCTGCACCACATGTACCTTACTCAAACCATTTTAATTGCTGCAAATTCAATACAAACAGTTCTTAACCTATCATGGAATGAATCCTCTGAAGTCCATGCAGTTTGTTTAACAGCTCCTATTTCTGTATCATGAAAATATCTTGATGTGTCTTGCCATTTTTCCCGAAAATCATCCTCTTGGTTTCTTCGTCGCACTATTGCTGCTTCATACACATTTTTTCTTGAAGTCCAGAGACTTGGCATATTTGGGAGGGCCATTCTGAAATATTATGAAATATCATGTGAATATTAACACAGGCATTTTAACACCCACAGCGTGCAAAGAAATAGAAAAATTAAAGGATGTTATACTTTATCAAAATAACCGATTATACATGTAATAAGCTAGAAGAATAGAAAAACCCCTGGAACTCTTGAAATTACCTCCCCTCTCCATGTTTTTACCCTATACTTCAGTTACTTGATAAATTGAACAAATGTAAAAAAAAAATAGTTTAGAAACTTAATAACTTTTTTTTTCAGAGTGAACTTTTATGCTCTTTTATCAATGAGATTACATCAACACCACCCCACCCCCGACCCCACAGCTTTTATAATCTAATGAGCTCTAAAATGGGCTTGAAGTTTCTTGTAAAACCACCGAGAAATTATGAAGTTTATTGCACGTCTAATTTATCTGAATATCGAAATCAATGCTCAAAGTAATCACATTACTAAAAGAAGTTAGATCTACTTGTTAATATGTAAAATTGTGGGGGAAAACAGCAAAAGTTTCGAAAATCCAGGAATTAATGCAGTGATTTGAAACATTTACAATGTGTTGGATTTGAAATCTTCGCCTCGACCATAACAAAAAGAAATAAATATAAAAAGCAAAACCATATGAATTGTTCACGTTTACTTACTTTTTATCTTTTATCCCTGCAAGTCTCTGTTTGTTGTTAGTGTTTGAATTATTTGATTCTTTACTAATCTTTACGCCCAAAAGAGCGCACAAGCTATTTCAAGATGAGCCAATCCAAAGGACGAAGGCGTCGAAGACGACGTATGTTACGGCTTTATTTTGCTCAAAATTTCATAGTAGTCTAGTGTCTCACCGTATAGCGTATACCTACGAACATTATTTACTGCAAATTTAGGAATTTGTGAAATTTCAAATTGGTCTCACAAATACATAAAGGAATCAGAAATATATTTCAAATATTATTTCTAATTATTTCAATTTGACCAAAGAATAGGATCTAAAAGAATATGTGTGTTATGTTAAATTTCATTCGTTGCCATTCAAAAGAGGTGGTTTCAGGTTACATCAGAGTCTTTCCACTTTGTTCATTTTTTTTTTCATATTTTAAATTGAAGTATTGAGGTATTCATACGAAGAAAAGGTCAAAGTAAATCAATTCACAGTAGAAAATACCAGAACCCGCCAAAATAGACCTGTCCTATATAAACGGGAATATAGGAAAATTATATCCAAGTGGAAAATGAAGTAGTACCTTTTTGCTATAGAATAAAGATTTAATGTTCATTTTTAGAAAGCAGGATTTTGCTTTAGAATAAATATTTAATATGAACTTTTTAAAAAACACGATGGTAAATTTATACAAATTTGATAAATAAATGTGGGCACTTTGAAACCGTTTTAGATTTTTTTTTCAGTGTGCAAAAAGAGCTTAAATGCTCAAATGCCATTAGTTATAAAATAAAAATGGGCATTTTACAATTGTTTCAATTTTAGATACCATAGAAAACCGTCAATTACAAACATTAAGACAATATTTACAGATCAGATTTAGCAGATTGAATTTGAAGGTCCTCAAACATGTACGAAATAATTTAACTCATTCTTATTAACATGACTACTATCTTTATCACGCACGTTGTATAAGTAGCTAAGTTCTTGGTGCTTAAAATAAAACCAGGTTTGTTGCTCTAACTCATTCCCAGTTCACAAGGCTAACTAGCCCTGGTCTCCCCTAATATGAATTCAGTTGAGGTGCCACGTCTCTTGTCGCGGACTGGGTGCAGGCAAACTGGTTGCTGGAGCAAGGATTATGAATTCTGGTTATTTGCGTCACACGAAGTTTGCCCAAGAATCTTCTAAATCACCTGTCGCATAAACTCATCAAGGAAAAATGTCCACTGGATTGAGATTTCACTTTCGTAATATTTAACCGTTTCCAAAGAACCAAAATCGATTTTTATGTGTCACAGGTGGGTCCATGGTCAGCACCCTGAGCTTCAGAGATAACTTGACACTAACCTCTTCACTATAGCCTATCTTCATCGTGTCAAGTTACTTGGTTACAAGTTACAGGGTGCTGACCTTGGACCCACCAGTGACACATAAATGAACAAATCGATTTTGGTTCTTTGGAAACGGTTAAATATTACGAAAGTGAAAGTAACTTGACACGATGAAGATAAGCTATAGTGAAGAGGTTAGTGTCAAGCTACTCTGAAGCTCAGGGTGAAGGTCAGTGTTGGTGTCTCTCAAACAAATAGTTTTGGTTCATTTGCCATATTTTGTCGGGACCTAATAATATTATATAAAATAATATCCGTACTAGTATTGCATTTCAAGATATTTTGTTTATTTACGTTAAGTCTGCCCCAATGCAAAAAAATAGCAATGTACGAGCATACAACCTGCTTGCATGCATTTTAGGCCTTAGGCAGTTGTCCCCAAGCATTTTCAAGGGATACTGTTACGAAAGTGACTGAGCTCATCAAAAACGAGTTTACAGATCGCAATTCTGAGAAGGGTTAGATATGGTAGCCTATAGGCCTACTGTGGTGGTTAAGATGTTACGCTCAGTGTGTGCCTTTAAATGATAAAAGACCTACAGTAGACCTATGTATGTAGTAATACCGTTCGAAAATAAAGTAAAACATTAATTTAGTCTGCCATCGTTCCCAATAGTCTTATTGTTAATAAAACAGATAAACATACAATTTGCTGAGACTGTTATTTGACCAGTGAGTGAGTGAGTCGTAAATGCACGTTGAACGTTTCATGACGTTATTTGCCCGTTTCATTGTATGACGTCATTAATGACGCAGCTTCCTCCTGCTGCCGACTTTGACTTCATTTACAGTTAGATATATCGATATTATCAATATGGCTCTCTCTCCAACTACCTACGCAGCAAAAGACGACGATTCCGGAGTCTCGACAAAACTGAATACGACATTTACCATCACAGATGAGGAATCCTTGACTGGCAGCTATGAACAAAGTGAAGGAAATGTTCATCTTTCGGAACTAGATGTACCAAATCCGTCTATTGTATCTATTGCTGAAAAATCTGAATTCGAAAATGTTGAAAAGAGTAAAATAACCAAAGAAGAAGAGGGTCTGCCTTTTTCTCCTACAGGAATGGTGAGTTTGTGTGAAGTAACGACAAAATCGCTGCAGGATGAAGCGTCGCTAATAGACAGACCTGAGGAAGAGGGTAAAGATAAGGACCAAAGTGTGCAAAATGTGCAAACTGAAAAATTATTCAAAAAAGAAGTTGATGGTAATGAAGACAATGGTGAGGAGAACAGTGATGTTAACGACGACTGCAAGGTACGCACGGGTGATGTTCAATCAATAAACAACATAAATGGACCGATCGAGGAGGAAGTAGAAACAGGCATTAGGAATGAAAGTGCAGTTAAAAATGGAGAACTCAGTGCCAGTGTTGGGCAAAACGGTTCTTTGATTTTAAAAAGAAATAAAGATAAAATGAACACAAAAGAAATCGAAAAAAGTAACGAAGAACTTCATCCCCGAGACAACAATTTGGTCGACGAGGATACAATAGCAAATCGGCAATTTGAGCAGCAAGAGGAGGATATCCTCAACCAAGCTGACAAAGAAAGTCAACAGATAATGAGTATAGATCAAGTTCCTGACAATAATCAGGGCAATTCGGATAGTTGTTTTATTGCTTCCAGAAGTTTTACAGTTGTCAGTGCAACACCTAGTTTTTCAAATAATAATGGGCAACACAGCCAAAAAGCAAACGTAGAAACTGCAGAATTTGATTTGTCTGAACCAAAAAGATACAAATCCGAGTTACGTGTTTGGTTGTTTGCTGCAAATGCAAGTAGCACTGTGGGCTTCACAACAGTTCAGTCGTCAAACCGTTGCCCACCGCGACATTCTATATCGAGCATACCAGTGCAGAAAGATCGAGAATACCCTAGTGATGTTAACAAATCGGCGTCCTCTGCAGTTGGAAAATACGCAAAAACCGAGGCAAAAGACAGTTGCAGCACACCAGATATATTAGAAGAAGATAAGAGCGTCGGAGACAAATTGGTTAAGCTTCCTGTTCGAAAGCGATCTTCCAGTCTATCTGATTTGGATCGGTACAAGCGTTACTTCAAAAGAGTTGGAGAGCACAATATTGATAAGGTATTGCGGCAGTTCGCGAAAATCGAAATAAAAAATGCTCATCGTTCTGGTAAAATAACCCAACGATACTCTAAACCACAAAGTACACGAAGAAAGAACCACTCTGCAATAACTAAAAAATGTATGAAAGCTGAGGAATATTGGGAGAACTATTTAGACTCAGAATCTGACTTGGACGAGATTCCCCCGCCACCACGGGCAATGAGCGCCTCCAGGTTCCCTGAATATCTCCGGCTGGTCGCGTGTACGCCACTCTCAGCTTCAAGCACGTGTACCCCATGGAAACACGTTCAGTTCCAGAGTAGTTCTACGCGGGAATCCTGCAATGACTTGACTTCGGTGACTAGCCTCTCGTCTTTGGACTGGACACCAGTGGTGAAAACAGCCAGGAAGAAAAAGAAAATGAAACCTAGGAAACCAATGCAGAAAAGCAGTTATGTTTCTGAGCAGGTGTCAAATATAGAGAGACGTTTATCACTTGAACAGGATCAAATTACTGCTAGAAATGACGCTGAAGATCGCAAAAGAATTGATTCTGATGGTAAATATGCAAAACAGGCATTGAATTCCTTCAAAAAGAGAGCAGCAAAGAAATCAAAAGAGAAGGAAATTAGCATAAATTGTCAAAAATCTGCGGTTCGGTATGGAGGAGGCAGGCGTGAACCAGTGCCTTACTCTTCGTCATTGACAGAGTGGTTTGATTACTTCGGAATGAAATATTAACTGTACTTACAAAAAATGTCCATATGCCTGCCTCTTTTTGGTGATATAAGGCAAACATGAATCATATAAATGCCGTTCTCAAAATCGGACAGGGCTGAATGCATCACCCTCTATTTTTCCTTTTCTTTCAATTCAAGGATGTGTTCGTCGCTTTAAGAGTGCAGTCAGATACATCTTTATCTGACACAACTTACGAGGCTTCATAGTGTATTAGGCTACATGAAGGCCTACATGCATATGGCACAGATTAATTTTTTTAAATCAAAATGAAAGCCGTTTTGTTTATTTTAAAAAAATCATACAAAGATTCTAAGAATATAATAATAATAATAATAATAATAATAATAATAATAATAATAATAATAATATTATTATTATTATACCTTTTTTAAGGTCATTCTCATGCCACCCCATGGCCGTTTCTTGTTTCAAATAATCAACAATAATTTTGTAAGTACTTATTTTATAACAAAATAATAACCAAACTTTTTATTAAAAAAGGGGGGGAGGGGATAACCGTGAATTTCAGAACGGATTCATTAACCATTGGCAATTAAGTACGGGGAAATTGTCGTTTACCCCAGAAATATCCATTTTTGAACAAAATGAAATGTTGTTATTCTTTTAATGTCTTTTTGCGCCAGAAAGGTAGTGTTGAGAAAGTGGGCTGTGTGTGTGTGTGTGTGTGTGTGTGTGTGTGTGTGTGTGTGAGAGAGAGAGAGAGAGAGAGAGAGCGTGCGGGGGTGGGGAATGGGGCAGTGGAAGATGAGCCAATAAAGATAATTTGGAAGACTACCAGAAAATATCTCTGTATCCGCCCCTGAACTATTCAGGAAAACACGACAATGTCCCTTAATCATTAAGTATCAAGCATAAAATAGACTGTCTGAATAGATGATCGACTTTACGACATCGAGCCCACTTACGTTATGCGGCAGTAATCAGCGGCAGTGTAGAGGTAGAGAGAAAATGACACTCGCCTAACGATAGCTTACCCTGGACCACCACTGTCCGTCCTAGTACATCATGGCCAGCAGGCTGATGAACGAAGCTCCCAAATGGGTAGTTTTGGTAAGTTTGTTTGTTTGTCGGATTTTCTCCAGTCTCTGTTGATCTGTGTTGATATATATAAATGAAGGCCACAACCTCACAAGTACAGCTACCACTACCGGTGCCGTACACTAGCTAGCACAAGTAGCAAGCAATATTTGTTCATTACGTGTATGTACTTGTTAATTTGTGCTATTTGTAGACCGGATAATTATCATTTTTATGCTATTTGCGCTAGTTACTCGATCCAGTATATAAAAATGATTAGAGCAAATTATTCTGTGTACAGTAGGTACCTGTATTACAGGCTGTAAAAGGAAGGAGGGGGGGGGGGGGGGGCATACCGCCTCTAGTAGTATTGATAAACCGATTTCAAGACCAAATGATTCATCTGAATCTTACTTCATTTATAGATTTAAAATATATAACTCGAGTTGACTGTAACATCTGGTATTGAATATTGTCAATATTAAAAAATTAATGTAGGCAGGACATTAAAACAGCTGATTAAAATAAAGTTTACACACATAAATTGAATAATGTTTTATAAAAGGTTGACCTTCATTTACAACAGTAAGCAACCATGAGACCAATGACTCATACATGTATCATGTAGCATCAAGTGATCTTTTGATCATTTATTTCAGAAGATTCCCAAATAAATTATTTAAAAAATGAAGTACTTAGTCATCAGAGTAATGAAACATGAAACAGCTGTCTTTGCACAGTGTAATATTATATTGTTTCTAGATGCATTACTTTTTTGTAAAGTGCTATGATAAAGTTTTATCTACAACATATTTAATCCCTTATTCTTTCATGTTTTAGATAATTTGGCTGTTGACAAATGTTGGCTTATTTATTGGATATTTCTTTTACTACTACAATGGAGAGAAATTCTTCTACATTAGAAAAATTGTTGGGGTAGGTATTTTCAATGTCATTTTCAGACAATTATAGATAATGGGTATTTAAATTAAGTTGTGGTTTGAGCACCAAAACCATATGTGTAAATCAGGTTATCAGTTAATGGGACATTTCTGAATTATCATATTGTAATTGTTGACCTGTAAATAATACAAGTTGCTGTTTCTTTATCTAGGAGATATGCCCCTGTAATATAAGCAACTTGAGAAAAATGTATTTGTGTACTATACATGTATACTGGTATAATTATATTTTATTTCCCTTATAGCTTGGTCTTCCTTTTGCTAGAGGTGCTGCAGCTTGTTTGAACTTTAATTGTATGCTGATATTACTACCAGTATGCAGGAATTTGATATCATTTTTACGAAAGTCTTGTACAGTAAGTATCTATAGCAACATTGATAGACTTTGTTTTGTATTCACATTTTTGTATAGAGGGAGAGAGAGAGAGATGGTAGGTACAGTATAAGGCTTAACTTGATGGCACAGCCCATCACATAAAGAATCTGTCTCACATTTCATTGTAACTATTAAGAAATCAAACAAGTGGGGGTTGCAATCTAGCATCCATATCTTGCACTTTGGCTTTGATGTTTTTTTTCACTAAACCCCTTGAAAACAAGCAGAAATAAAAATACCTTTGGTTCCTTTCAGTGCTGTAAACGAAACATGCGCCGCCAACTTGACAAAAACATAACATTCCATAAATACATAGCTTACATGATATGTTTGCACACAGGTAGGTAGATGTTATAGATGCTTTATATATTCATTTATTTTAACTAGTGCGATGTTACTAACTTTACATTGCATGTGGCTGAAAAATCAGCTAGTGTACATAACTGAAGAAAATGTATTGAACGGAATACCGGGGGGTACATGTAATAATATAGATATACAAATGTAATTGTATTTTTGTGTTAAAAATGAAATGTTGCACAAACTATATGTGCTAGTTGAAAATGTGTGATGTTGGTGTTTTTCTTTGTAACTAATTATTTGTAAATGGTAGTTATAAGAAATGTTTCATTTTTTTGTTTTTTCTAGCCATCCATGCAGGAGCACACTGCTTCAATGTGGAGTTCTTTGTAGATGCACAAAGCCCTACAATAAACAAAGATGAGGCAGCACTGTTGACAGCTCTCAGTTCAATAGCTGGGGGAAATGGCACTGCAGCTATTAACCCTGTCAGGTTACCAAATGCTGTAGGTACTTAGACCCCATTCCCATACCTAGATCAATCTACAGAATCAACCCATCATCTCTGAGGGGTTCCTTGCTAAATTGCTTTCAGCTTAGGTGGCTTAGATGGCTGGCACGCCTATTGAAGCTGCTAAACGATAGTTATTTACTCCCTAACAACTGCAGTAGGCGTGCCAGACATCAGAGCCGCTTATGTTGAAAGCAATTTAGCAAAAAAAACCCTCAGAGATGGGTCAATCCTGGTAGTTCGAACTAGGTATGGGAACAGGGTGTTAAATAGCACAGGTCCTTAGGTGGGGAGGGGGAGGATCAAAGGAACCATCCATTTGGCTAAAAGAGATTCGATCTGAATCAAAATTTGATCCATGATGACACATTGGGTCAACTAAAGGGTAAAAGGGTGCACTTTTGCAGAAAAAGCCCCCTTCCCTTGAAATTGTTTGCCAGTAGCCGAAGGCTTGTGATAGATTAATGATAGAACATACAGTAAAATTGCAAAAAAGTTTAAATAATGTCATATTTATTTCTTTTGTAATAGAAGACATACAAATAATAGATCTTCAGATATTAAAACTGACCTTGAAAAGAAGTTTTGAATTTCATACAAGGCAGTTGTTTTAATTTGATGCATTGTAATTTTGTTTAATTTGGATTAACATTTTATTTTAGAGTCCTGTACTTGAAGCTTTAAAACTGATAGCAGGAGTAACAGGGATTGTCATCACTCTAGCCTTGATAGTTATGGTTTCTTCATCTACTGACTTCATCAGGTAATTGTGAAATTGAATACAGAATTAAGAGCTTGTTTTTTAGTGTTATGGTGTTTAAATGTTATGATATCCACATATAATCCAGCCAGTATCTTTTCTTTGGACAGTTTGCTTGTCTACTAACAAATATTTTAAAATATTTAGGTACCAAACCTTTTTGTTATAATTTTTTGTTTCATGTTAGACTTCACTATTTTGAGGCCTTCTGGTTCACTCATCATTTGTTCATTGTTTTCTACATTGCCTTGGTGGTGCATGGGATACAGTAAGTAGCTGTTATGAAACTGTCTTTAATTACTGATATTATAATGTCATTTATATGAGATGGATCATACTAGTATTAGATATGCCTTGGCATGAAGTCAGTCATTCCTTATAATCATGTGGGCTGGTAATGGCAGATTTCTAATTTGATTGTGCAATGCATGTGCACATGAGTAGCATTCAAGTTTAAGTTTCAAAAGATATTTGGAGTATGTCCACCATGTATCAAGCAAGATCTGAACTTTATTTATTTCATGTATTTATAGAGGTGTTGTAACATTCCAAGAAAATGTGTCAGAACATAACCCTGAGAAGTGCTCACAGGAACCACTGGACTGGGGGAAAGAAGNACCCCTTGAAAACAAGCAGAAATAAAAATACCTTTGGTTCCTTTCAGTGCTGTAAACGAAACATGCGCCGCCAACTTGACAAAAACATAACATTCCATAAATACATAGCTTACATGATATGTTTGCACACAGGTAGGTAGATGTTATAGATGCTTTATATATTCATTTATTTTAACTAGTGCGATGTTACTAACTTTACATTGCATGTGGCTGAAAAATCAGCTAGTGTACATAACTGAAGAAAATGTATTGAACGAAATACCGGGGTTCATGTAATAATATAGATATACAAATGTAATTGTATTTTTGTGTTAAAAATGAAATGTTGCACAAACTATATGTGCTAGTTGAAAATGTGTGATGTTGGTGTTTTTCTTTGTAACTAATTATTTGTAAATGGTAGTTATAAGAAATGTTTCATTTTTTTGTTTTTTCTAGCCATCCATGCAGGAGCACACTGCTTCAATGTGGAGTTCTTTGTAGATGCACAAAGCCCTACAATAAACAAAGATGAGGCAGCACTGTTGACAGCTCTCAGTTCAATAGCTGGGGGAAATGGCACTGCAGCTATTAACCCTGTCAGGTTACCAAATGCTGTAGGTACTTAGACCCCATTCCCATACCTAGATCAATCTACAGAATCAACCCATCATCTCTGAGGGGTTCCTTGCTAAATTGCTTTCAGCTTAGGTGGCTTAGATGGCTGGCACGCCTATTGAAGCTGCTAAACGATAGTTATTTACTCCCTAACAACTGCAGTAGGCGTGCCAGACATCAGAGCCGCTTATGTTGAAAGCAATTTAGCAAAAAAAACCCCTCAGAGATGGGTCAATCTTGGTAGTTCGAACTAGGTATGGGAACAGGGTGTTAAATAGCACAGGTCCTTAGGTGGGGAGGGGGAGGATCAAAGGAACCATCCATTTGGCTAAAAGAGATTCGATCTGAATCAAAATTTGATCCATGATGACACATTGGGTCAACTAAAGGGTAAAAGGGTGCACTTTTGCAGAAAAAGCCCCCTTCCCTTGAAATTGTTTGCCAGTAGCCGAAGGCTTGTGATAGATTAATGATAGAACATACAGTAAAATTGCAAAAAAGTTTAAATAATGTCATATTTATTTCTTTTGTAATAGAAGACATACAAATAATAGATCTTCAGATATTAAAACTGACCTTGAAAAGAAGTTTTGAATTTCATACAAGGCAGTTGTTTTAATTTGATGCATTGTAATTTTGTTTAATTTGGATTAACATTTTATTTTAGAGTCCTGTACTTGAAGCTTTAAAACTGATAGCAGGAGTAACAGGGATTGTCATCACTCTAGCCTTGATAGTTATGGTTTCTTCATCTACTGACTTCATCAGGTAATTGTGAAATTGAATACAGAATTAAGAGCTTGTTTTTTAGTGTTATGGTGTTTAAATGTTATGATATCCACATATAATCCAGCCAGTATCTTTTCTTTGGACAGTTTGCTTGTCTACTAACAAATATTTTAAAATATTTAGGTACCAAACCTTTTTGTTATAATTTTTTGTTTCATGTTAGACTTCACTATTTTGAGGCCTTCTGGTTCACTCATCATTTGTTCATTGTTTTCTACATTGCCTTGGTGGTGCATGGGATACAGTAAGTAGCTGTTATGAAACTGTCTTTAATTACTGATATTATAATGTCATTTATATGAGATGGATCATACTAGTATTAGATATGCCTTGGCATGAAGTCAGTCATTCCTTATAATCATGTGGGCTGGTAATGGCAGATTTCTAATTTGATTGTGCAATGCATGTGCACATGAGTAGCATTCAAGTTTAAGTTTCAAAAGATATTTGGAGTATGTCCACCATGTATCAAGCAAGATCTGAACTTTATTTATTTCATGTATTTATAGAGGTGTTGTAACATTCCAAGAAAATGTGTCAGAACATAACCCTGAGAAGTGCTCACAGGAACCACTGGACTGGGGGAAAGAAGGAAAATGTCCAGTGCCTAGGTTCCAAAATGGAACAGCAGGGGTAAGTTCAGGGTTAATGCTGACCCTGTGGGCACTGCATCACCCTAGTGTACCTACATGGGTAATGTGTGGGGCTAACTTGCTGGTCAGGTTGCTGGATGGCTATGTAAAATATTCAGTTAATGTAACTCTTGGGGCCTTTTTTATGTGTAAGCTGCAAATATACCTGTAGTTATTTGATAAATTACTTATGCTGCCAATTTTTTTCAGACCTGGAAATGGGTGCTGGCACCCATGATTTTTTATTTCATTGAAAGATGCATTAGATTTTTCCGAAGTCAACAAAAAGTAACTATTACAAAGGTAAGTTTTAAAGCTAATAACCAAATGATTTAACAGATATTTGGTGGTGCTGATATATCCTTCTGAGTTAATGTCATGGAAAATTAAGTGCTATACCTTTGTCCCATCATGATTAGCATATACCCTATTCTATTATTTGGGCCCATTGCCTGTTGCATACAATATACTTTTACAGTACATTGTGCAAGGCCACTGACAAAATATGGTACTTATAATGAGAAATACATCCTGACTGTCTTTATACTCATGATGACCTGCATTGTTAATTACACCAAGTGCTCAAAAAACAGAAAACGACTGAATTAAAAACTTATTATGATTACGAAACATGTAAAAAAAAGGCGCCAATGATTGCCCTTTGCTCAGTATTTGTCCCTGCAGAATGACAAGCTATGAAAATTAATGAGGATGAAAAAATTCAGTGAATGTAAAATTATAATTTTTTACTTGTATTAATTTTAGGTAATCAAACATCCATCCAGGGTCATTGAGCTTCAAATGCAGAAAGCAGGCTTTCAAGCAGAAGCAGGGCAGTATGTCTTCCTTCACTGCCCCAGTATTTCTAAGTTAGAATGGCATCCTTTTACACTTACTTCAGTGAGTACAAGTGTTCTTTTATCACTCATTAAGCATGATTTGTTGAAGGTGTTTGCATCTTTTCAAATCCAGTGATTATCATATATTATACTAACTTTTGTTTTAAGCAGTTGAACCATTTATTAATTGTTGCAGCTATAATGTGCTTTTAAAGATGATGATAGTGTTTGCCTCACTCACTTCATAGTTGCTTCTCAGAGTCTGTATATATTATCTTTTGCCCTGTATACCTATAACATATAATTTAAAAGCATCTTTAAAAACATAATTGCATACAGTCTGGTGATGTTTCTGAAGTTTTCTCTTATGAATGTTGAAACATTTCTTTAAAAATAACTGGATTTTTTACTTAAAAGTCAAACTGCACATGGGTTGAAAATGTTGTCCTCCATAATGTTTATTTGGATACCTTCAGGCCCCAGAGGATGACTATTTTTCCTTGCACATCCGGCTGGTGGGAGACTGGACCAATGCCTTGGCTGGGGCTTGCCATGCTGACAGCAGAGGAGACCAGAAAGGAAGCTCTAAACTACCCAGGTGACTGCATGAAAAAATTTTGAGCCGGAACATGTTTAAAGAGTAACTTGTTTGATTTATGGTACCTTTAAAGGGAAACAGAAATAAAGCAGGTGGTTAGAATTTTTTCACTGCAGGCAGTGAGAGTTAATTGCTGTAATTTTGATTCTTCAAATATGTTTTCATCCAAAGACTCTATTGCCTTTTCAGCATTGCTGTCGATGGTCCATTTGGCACAGCAACTGAGGTGGGTGAAAACGTAAGGTTAAACATGTTAAACACGTAAGGCTTTCAAAAAGTTTTGATAAAAATTGAATTGAATTTAATTGAAAGAAATTACTATTTCAAAAGCTTTTTGTTTGGATTCCAGGATGTGTTCCGTTACCAAGTGGATGTATTTGTAGGGACAGGAATAGGGGTCACTCCCTTTGCCTCGGTGCTCAAACACATCTGGTAAGTTCTTGGCGGTCAAGTAACCATACACTGTAGTATGACAGATCAAAGTAATTAAAGATGGATGAAGACGAAAGTGTGGATTATATATCTTGATATTTATTGGCAGATATTTTTATTTCTCTGTACATCCAGGAAATGATTATCCTAGGCAGGCTGCCTTCACTGAAAACCAGCTGAGATTAATGATACAACAAATATCAATATCTAAAATGTATACAATTTGTTCAGCATAATTGATATCATCTTATATGTCTTGGTTATGTCCTGATTATTCCAGGCATAAATGCAATAACAGCAACTTTGAAACCAAGCTGACAAAGGTCTACTTCTACTGGATCTGTCCTGACACCAATGCTTTTGAGTGGTTCACTGATCTGCTCAGTTCCTTGGAGGTACAGATGGCAGAACAAGGAAAAGCAGATTTCTTGGACTATAATATCTATTTGACTAGAGGCTGGGACTCTGATCAGGTACTAGAACATGAGAATTGTTCTTTTGTGATGTTGTCCCTAAATTGATTTTTAAAAAACATGGAAGCATTTATGTATTATCTCGAAATAGATAGTATAGTACTTGCAGAAAGTAGCGAAGTATATTTTTAGTATTGATTTTCAACTTATGTCAACCTTAAATGAAAGTATATTAAGTCATGCTAGAATAATGGCATTAAATTTGAAGAATGCTTCATCAACTTGTGTGACTTTGTTGTTGATTTAGAAAAAAATAGGTAATTCAGCTAATGCAAAATATATATATATATATATCTGCAAATGTGGGCTTGATGTGTGCAAATTTTACATTTCCAGGCCAAGAATATTATGTTACAGGATGAGGAAGCAACAGATGCTGTGACAGGATTGCAAAAGAAAACCAACTATGGCCGCCCCAACTGGGACCATATTTTCCAGGATATAGCAGAGCAACATGTCGAGTAAGTGATTTTATTATTTATTCAAATTGCAATTATTTTTAAGGAAATCGTTATAATAATGTACTGTAGATTAATTTTTTTTAACCTTGGGTGACTTTGACAGCTTGTCTCACCATGCAGGATTTTTTTCACACATACAGCAAAATGTTTAGTGTGAAAGAGATGCACAGATGTTTAGATGTTGTGTATTTTTCAAAATGTAAAGAAAGCATTTAGAAAAAACATTTTGCACTTCAGCAACCCTACAAAATTTCACCATCTTGTGTTACTGGTTAGCATTCTGGTCATGCCATACATGTAGTTTATATAAATAGTATTCTTATCTATCATTTGAGTCAATTAGTTTAAGTAAAATCTCATTTAGGTTTCACATTAAATATCAGTCAACCTATATAGTGAGTTTGTCTAAAGTTAGATGTTGCTATTGAATCTCAAACACTGTATGGTTCATGTTGTGCTGATGCTATCCATCTTCTTTTTAGTACAAGAATAGGAGTCTTCTTTTGTGGACCCAAGGCACTATCTGCTACACTGCACAAAATGTCCAACCGGTATTCCAGCCCGAACCCTAATGGGACTCACTTTGTGTACAACAAGGAGAACTTCTGAAAAGTGAACTCATTCATACAGACAGAAAACTGTGATAATCTATAACAAAATAAAAATTTGGTCAGTTTTTAAGATGTGGTTCCTTAATCTCTGTAAGTGTTCAAATGTATTTTTTGCTGTAGTGGGCCAGAATAATGATTTTTTTTTCCTTTTCAATAAACGTTTATTTAAAGGTCAGAGATGAAATTGATAGTAATAATATTTCTATACAAAATATTTTTCATTTATTGTGTAATAAATCAATAGAAGAAAAAATGCACAAGAAATTTAAAATAGATTAGCAAGTAAACAGAATAATTAGTGTTTAATTTTTTTTTTTTTTTTGGCAAAATTTTGAATGTTGATCAAATCTTTATTTTAATGCAAACAGAAACATCTCTACTTATGTATTAATTGTTTATTATACAGGTACTATGTTCACTTGTGTGTTGCATCAATCTCTCAGGAAGCTTAATATATTTGAGATTTCCTTTGTATACTTTAATCTCAAAAGTGGTGCTTACTAGTATATTGTTGTAACTGTTTTTTCCAGTAATTTGATGTGCAAGTAAACAAACATGAGCTGTATGTATGCAGTTCTTTAAAAAATTATCTCTTCATGTAGCCAAGTTTTGGACCTGATGGGGACCAGCTTTTCTATACAGTGTGTTTATTTTGATAGTAAAATAGTAAAAACTTTCTGTGGACATGTATGCCAGCCAATGCATACTTGTCGGATAGTGAAGAACCTCTTGATATGATGCCTGAGAACATGCAGATTAGGCTGCCTTTCATCTGTTGTGTAAGTTTACATTTAGCTGTACCTAGGAATGTGAAAATTTGTGCATACAATTTTAAAAGGTCTGGTTACGCCTCTGCATGTAATACATGTATACACCTGCATGTATATAACATACTAGTTCATGTATCCATGTAACTTTCTGGTTTCTGGTTCTGCAGTTCTTATTGTAAAAAGTGTTCACAGTTAAAAGGTACTGTAGAGTCTAACACAATTTTTTTTCACCTTAGTACAAAAAAAAGTTAAATTTGTGCAAATGTAGTGTGGAAATGATCTTGAAAATATACAAATGTATACCCTTACTAGTCTGTTAGTAATGAAAATAAAGTTTTTATAATGTATATTTCATTTGTTTGAAGTTTTATTTTTATGGACCTATATTGTGATGGAAAAGTGTTTGATTTTTAATAAATAAAAAAAATCCAGGCATACAGAATGCCAACAATTTTTGCCTTTTACAGTTTAAGATATTAAACTTAAATTAACATTTCCGAGCAAACAAATTCAACGTGAAAAAAATGAACGGAAAACGTCAACGGAAACAGAAGGGGGAGGGGGTGCAGTGGATAACCGGATGTTACCGGAGAATATCGTAAGCGGTCTCACATTAAACTTCCGCGCTAAATACGATTCCAGGCTAATCTTGGACACATTATGATTGTTGCAAGGGGAAAACTTGAAGTATTTTGACTATCCAGTCATAATATGTCATACCAGGAGGATTATGCGAGGCGCTGTATGGAACTTTTTGAAGGAGGAAAGTTAGCTGAATGTGCTGAAACTTTGGAGCAGGCCGCGGGCACTTGCTTCGATCAAAGAGAAAAATGGATCAACGATTGTAACATATTACTTTGCCGATTTGTTAATACTGTCAATAATATGGTTAGTTTACTTGTTGTTACTTGTTAACAGACTCTTCTTTGAACTCTAATTTTTTGAGTGAATACATGCATAACAATACATGTACATTGTTAAAATTTGTAAACTTTATGACTGGGTTCCCATGCCTAGATCGATCCATCAGGATCGATATAACTCCCTGGGGAGTCTCAATAAATTGCTTTCAATGTAACTGAGTTAAATGTCTGTATAGCCTACGGTATCAGCTAGGGGGTAACGATAATTACCCCCTTACAGCTTAACTACTGTAGCCGTGACAGACATTTAAGCCAGTTAGGTTGATAGCAATTTAGTGAGACTTCCCAGGGAGATAGATTGATCTAAAATCTGTGAGAAGATACTACTAGTAGTTCTGGTAGATACCAATAGATGTGTTGTATGTAGAAACATTGAGACAAATCACACTGATACAGAAAACCTGAAAGTTGAGCTTGACACACTTAAACACTCACATACACTTCAATATGTACACATCATATATGTTTATATTATATGTACATGTACTCGGTATAAACTAGCAAAGACAATACATGTACTGGTAAACGAAAATGAGAAACAAAATTAATCAGCATGAAAACGGACATGTTTTTAATTTTTTAAGCCAGAAGACAAAAGTTTACTTCACCTAGAACTGATAATGAACAAAATATTGGGATTATTGGTTCAGCTAAGAGGTAAAATTTAATTTCTTTCGATACATGTACTAGGTGTTGTAGAAAAATTGCTATAAGCCAGAAGACATAAGTTTATTTTCTGTAGAACTGATAAAGAACAAGTTGCTGACATTATTGGTTAATCTTAGAGAAAAATGTGATGTATCATTGGTGTTATAAAAATTTATTTGTTGAGCTTGAGTTATGAGTATCACCTCAGGCATTGTTCATAAAAATAAAATGTACTTTTTCCTAGGCACCACTCCTACCTTAGCAACGCTTAGCATAGAGCTGGCAGTGACATATGATTATTGTGCTCTGCAACTATATGTCCACTCTGATGGTGTAATGTCAGCAATTTCAAAGGTCCAAGAAGAACTTGTGATTTCAATTACAAGAGGTATGCATTGCATTTTGATATTTAGTTTTTATTTTTATTTTTTATTGTTATTGGGGGAGGGATATTTCATTTTCTTGCAGATTGATGTAAGCATATAAATCTTAACAGGTGTTAGAGGCGAAAAAAGGGAAATCTGTTATTGTAATATTATTATAAGTAAACCTTTGCTCAAGTCTGTTATCCTTTTTTCTAATTATCAACGTTAAATATTTATCTCATTATAATACTAATTCTGTGTCTTTGTAGCTATGAATGCAATGAAGAAGAAGACAAAGGGAAGACCAGTGTTAATGAAGGTGGAAAAAGAGATGGTAGACATGGCAACATATTGCCTGGAATCAAGAAAAGCACAAGGTTGGTTTCTTTGATTAATTAGAAATCTTTATGAAGAAATAGGACTTGCATTCACAGTTTAAGTATGCATATCGATTGCAGGTTATCAGGCAGTTAGTTCTTCACTGCCCCATACTTGGATCAATTAATATAAATCTTTGCTGGGCCATAGCCTTTTCATTGCTTATTAAAATGGTGAAGACAATTGGAAAGCTTTGCACCTACAGTACAACAGGTGATGTTCTAAGAATACATCAATTTTTTTACATTCAAAATCTTTGCCTCTCTGAAATGTGAAGTGGTACACTAAAATATATACATGTACATCATGGAGATCCCACTCCTTATTCCAGAGAGTCCTGGTCTCCTCCATGCAGTTGCCTGTTGCTGTAGCTTACTAGGGTTGACTTTGGTGTACCAGGGCAGTTTTGAGAGTGCACAAAGAATACTTAATCATCTCTACTATGAGTTAGATTACACAGCACTCAATATCAAAGTATGTTTGATTAGTTTTTAATTCATTTTTGCGTTGCTTAAAATTTGATGTAATGTTTGAAAATGTACTAAGGTGACACTCTGTGAGGATACTAGTTCGTTTTTATGTGGATATCTTATACAGGATTTTATAGAATACATCCTTTTAGTTTCCTTTAAGTTGATTTCAACCACTTGGAATCTTTAGCACAGGTGTTTTAAACACATTGTCACTTTAACTTTCTTTTGATCTTCATTAGGATCTCCCTTTTATCTTACCATTTGACTGTGGTGAAATGACACTCAGCAAGCCTAATAATCTGAAGAAGACTGTTGGATTGTATTTAGCTTGTAACCATCTGTCACAGAAAAACTACACAAAATGTGCCCAAGTTGCTGCAGAGTGTGCCAGTGGGGTCAGCAAAACAGTGCTTGGTTGTTTTCAAGGTAAATGATAATTGCTTACAGGCCCGTAGCCAGCAATTTCAAAAGGGGGGTTCTTTTTCTGAAAAAGTGGACCTTTTCCCATAAAAACTTAATGTACCTAGATCAAATTTCACCCAGAGTGGACCTTTTCCCAGCAAAAGGGGCGGTTCTTTCGAACCCCCCAACCCCCCTGGCTACGGGCCTGGCTTATCAGCCAGGATTTCTTTTCTGTTGTAACCAGCAAATTTGTTATTTCAGGAGAAGAGGCAAATTATGTTAGTCATTATCTGCCCTTTCCCATTGCCTTTTTACTGTGAAAAGAAAAGAGATCTAAATTAAGTTAGTTTTTGTGTTTTGTATGTTATATATAATCTCTAATTGTTCAATCGCATACATTCTGGAAATTAATTAAAATAGTTTGTCTTTTTTTGGTATTTTTTCAGCCTTTGCACACATGAAGCTGGGTGAGCCAGAGGAGGCTTTGGCTGTGCTGTCAACTCTGACGTCACCAACTGATACTGCTGAAATAAAAGCTGTTGTTGCTTATTTACAAGGAAACTGCTTGGCTATGCTGGTATACATGCAGTGTCTTTTTTTTTTTCATATTCATCCAGATCCATTTTATTCCCTATTTTAAAATGACGAGAAGCAGAAATGATTACATCTTTACTTTTCACTCACTATTGAATTTCCTGACTTTTTAAAATCACAAATAATGTTGTAAATGGTGTGAAGTGATTACTGTGCTATTCCTACTGAGTTTCAGATGAGCCTTCGCATGACTGAGTGTTCACTCTGTCACAGCACTGCTGAGAGTTTTATGTTGGTATACTAATTTATATCAGTACATGTAGAAATATTGTTCCATATATTTCAATTGAGCTTTATAAATTGTTCACAACTGTTAAAACTGTTACGTTACAGCAGAGGTTCTCTTTCAGGGCAAAGGACATAGTGCCATGCAAAAATACAAAGTTGCCATACAACTTGACATAAGTTCCTTGGCACCTTTGTACAATGTTGCAATGGAATATAGGAAAATGGCCAATTTTGATGCAGAAATAGAAAGCTTAGATCTGTTAGTAACAGTAAGTAGCAGATTTTTAGACTTGCACATTGGCTACATATATAGCAAGTTGTGTCTTTTTCTCTTTTTTTAAATTCAAATGATAGAAAACAAGGATGTCATCTGTTAAGTCATCTGTCTAATTTCTTTCTTTTTTTATCTTAAACAGAACTTTTTTAAGTGTGGTCAAATTTATTGGTGACATTCTAGTAATGGTATTTTTAAGGCTATGTAAATAGTAAAGATAACTGTTAAAAATATTGTTTTCAAGGGCCTGGAAAAGTCAGAAGAATCAAAGAGAAACAGAGCAGCACAAAAATGCTGGAAGATGCTTGATATGAATTTCATCCTTCTGCAGTCCTTTGATTTTATTCCTAGAGTCTCTCTGCCAGAGATACTGTATATTATGGCAAAGAGATGTATGGAACTTGAAAAGTAAGTGAAAAGCCGTATGTGCTTGTTGAAGTGGGTTTTGAGCTGTAATCTATTCAAAGGTGAAGCATAAGAAGTGCTGGGCAAAAATACCAAACAGTTTTGAGTGTATTTTCATTACTTTTATTTTTAAAGTATTCTATATGGTATTTCTATGTCAAATTCAAGTTGTCTTAAGTAAAAAGCAATTTATTAAGGAATCACTGATTGACCTGTTTCTGTATCTATTCTGATCACTGTCCATATTGTTGCAGTCACTGCTGCTGCCGAAACATAAGTCCCTATAACTGCAAAACCAATTTTCTGTTTTACTTTTATTTACTGAGTAGCTTTGTTTGACTAAAAAAAAAAAGCTCCTAGTGAAATTATTATTATTATAGGTATTTTTTACATGTATTTGGGTTANAGTCCCTATAACTGCAAAACCAATTTTCTGTTTTACTTTTATTTACTGAGTAGCTTTGTTTGATTAAAAAAAAAGCTCCTAGTGAAATTATTATTATTATAGGTATTTTTTTTACATGTATTTGGGTAAGGGTTGCCCCTACTAAACTGGGTTTTTGTTTTACTTTAAGAGTTGCTTTGTATGTAAATTAGGTTTATTCCTTTGAAAATCAGCATGATCGGATTATATTTATGAAAGTTATTGATTTTTTCATGTTTTTTTTTACATATTTTGATGACATTTCTTTTTTTTAGTGTTGCTGTTAATTTAATATTATTTGCACCACATTCCACATAGTTTTGATATGAACAATTGATTTCAACACATGCTACAATACCTTGCTTCATATTAATTAATTAATTAATATATATATATATATATAATTTTTTTTTTTAAGATTTCAAATATCAGCTGAAAGATATCTGGACCTTATAGCTTTGTTGGTAGATGATGACTCATTCAATAGACTTGAGGTGAGTGGTACAAATTACCTCTTCAAGAAGCTTATATATGATAATAGGTAGTTCATTAGTTCGATAGACTTGAGGTGAGTTGTCCAAATTGCCTATTTGTATCATTTATTTCAAGAAGTTTGTATGTGATAATAGTTTGTTAGCATTCAACTCAATGACTTAGTAGTAAACAATAATTTACAGATTTGATGAAAAATAAAAACTGCAGGTTTGTGCATTTTTGGTGAAAAGTTTTTTTTCCCAAACCATAAACTCTTTTCAGCCTTAGAACTGGGGAGTAAGGAAAGCCATGACCACATCAATTCTAAAGATGGTATGTAAATTATATTTGACGTGATCATCCTAACCTTATAATTTTTAGGTACAATGTCATCAGTTGGAAGCCATGCCATCGATTCGTAAAATCTACTTGGAGGCAATCTATGCCCTGGTCAAGTGTGAAAGATATGAGGAAGCAATTGTACTGTGTGATAGGCTTGTTCAAAAATATACACCAACTTGTGCATCAGTGGATTATGAACGTGGTGCAGACAACTCAAAGAGAAAAGGAGAAACCCAAGTACATGCAAAATCTTCTGACGGTGGTCCAGGTAATCAGATACACAGTCTTCCAGTGCAAAACAGTAGGAAGAGGCAACGATCAACAGAGGAATTAGAGAGCTACAATGAAAGAGAGCCTTTAATCCATGAACTGTGTGAGCACCCCTACTCCGAGGACATCCCAGCCTTGATGTACAAATCTGACTGTTTGGTACATTTAAAAAATGAAGTTGAAGCACTGCAGTTGCTGAACAGGTATCTTTTTGTAGATTGTTGACTTTAGGAAGATCAGCAGTTGAAAAAAACTTTTTTGGTGTTTTTTTTTTTTTTTTTACATTGTCAATGTTTTAACTGAGCTTCCAATGTCAATATCCAGGCAGATAATGTCATGTCCTCCTTGTTAGGAAGGGATAACAGCTGTTCGTATGATATCCATATTTCACAATAAATACATTGTAAACAACTCATAGAAATATAATATACTCTATTTTACCACCAAAATGGCAGTTGACACAATTATTCTGGATTTTGTGCTTGCTATCACATCACGTGACTGCCATAGATGGCTACACTCTGTAATAATCTCTTAAGAGAATGTTACAAAAAAAAACTTTTTAGAAAAAAAACAGGGACTAACTTTGAATGTTAGAATGCATTCATTATCCATTGGTAAGTATGGGAACCTTTACCCCAGGAAAATCCATTTTTTTTTTTTTTGTCAAAATGAACAGTTCTTATTCCTTTTAGCTTGTCACTGATGATTCCCTTGAATGCCAGTTATGTCAGCAGTGTAGTTACCAGCACTGGTCCTTATGTAGAGAAGGAGGCAAATCATCTGATTAGACATTGACTTTATATATATGACTTTATGTATATGTAATTCTTGTAATAGATTAAAAGTGAAACTTGTTGACTTTTCAATGAACCTAAGTGCGTTTAGACATAGCATCACCCTTGAACTTTCATGCAGAAGGACAAAAGGAAGATAACAGCATGTAAATTGTATATTGATATGCATAAAGAAAAAAATTAATCCAGCATTTTAGACTGACCAAAGGTTAACACACATTTATCATGACAACTTTCAGAGTCATATCCAGCATGGAACATGCTTCACAACACCTTTCTGTTGAGCACAATGACACTGTATTACCAAAACAGAAAAGGATGCGCTTGGATTCAGGTAAAGTGATTAAAATATGAAAATATAATGTGTTATTTTTGTGTGTTGCACATGTACAATTTGAGTCATTCATATACATCTGTGGAAAGCATTCAAATCTGTCTTAGATAGTTCATGTCATATTTATGGCAAGCATTAATCACCAGCATTGTGTGTGGTTATTACAGTTAGTTCATATTGAGTGGGCTGATTTCCAGCAATGAAGATTTCAATGTATAGAATACAAAATGCCTGAAAGTAGTGCTGTGTGAAAATCAGTTACAATTTTACTGCAGAGACATGGCTTGGACTATTGAAAATTATGTTTTAGGTCAAACTCCAGGAAATCAGTCTTTGAAAAATTAATGTTTTTTATATATATTTGATGGTTTCTGATATTTTCTCAGTTACTTTTATTTATTTTTTTTAGTGGTAAACTGTTCTTATTGAATTGTTATGACTGTTACATTCAGTAGGATTTTTCAAATTGATTGTGATGAATATATTACAGATGGGACCCAAGCCCCACAAGATTCTAGTAAAAGAAGTGTTCCAAGTCACTTCCAGCTGTTGGCTCAGGCATACAGTAGGAAGGCCAAATTGTTAGTTACAGAAGTTAAATTGAAAGATGCCTTGCATTTTTTCAGACTTGGCCTATCAGCACATTCAGGTGGGTAAATTATAAATGGCATTTCAGGTAGTCTGTTTAAGTTATGAACCCGAGTGAAATCCAAAAAAAAAAAAAAAAAATTGATGCAACATCAGTTTGAAAAGCTATTCAGCTTAACTACCTAAATATGCATGTGAAAATTTGCAATACTATCGACTCTTAACAAAGAAGATAATATAGCATTATGATATCAATGAAATGTTAAATGAGTCAACAGCGTAAAAGAGAAATAATGGAAAATTAAAGGGATAATAACTCTTCGTATGAGATATATATTTCACAACAAAAACATTATGAATAACTCATAGAAATATAATATATTCTGTTTTAACACAAAAACGGCAGTTATAACTATTATTCTGATATCTGAGCTTGTCTTTAGACTACATGACGTCCATTGATGGCTATACTCTGTTAAAATCTCTTAAGAGATTTTAACAAAAAACCAAACTTTTTAGAAAAAAAACAAGGACTAACTTTGAATGTAAAAAATGGATTCATTAACCATTGATAAGTATGGGAAAATTGTTGTTTACTCCAGGAAAATTCATTTTTTGGCCAAAACGAAGAGTTATTATCCCTTTAAGGTATGTGTGTATTAATGGTGTATGAAGACCTGTCATGCTGAGTGAATTATAAAAGGACGTGTGGTCATTTTGTATATTTAACATTTTAGAGTCGGAAGACATTGTGTATAATCACTGTGCCTTGTTGGTGAAGATAGGAAAAGCCCAAGAAGGATACTACAACTGGCTGAAATTTCGAAACATTGACGTTAAAATTGATGGTTTTCAAATCCAGCACCTAATTAATAAGACTCAGAATAAGCTAAGGTATGGAAAGTTTTTATTTATTCATTACAATTTAGAAACTGGTTTGTAATTCTTTAACATTTTTTAATGACAATATCATGGTTATTATGTAGGTGAAAACATTTTCAGTACAATTGACTCATTTTAATGATAATTTATAGTGTCTCAGGTTTTTCAAACTGTTGAATATTGTTTGATTTTGAAAACTAGCTTTAAAATGGAGTATATAGTATTTGCAGCCCAGTTACAACCCTTCATTCTATGATATTTTTCAGGGATTTAGAATTATCTACACTTGATCAGAAGCAGTGGTACACCTTAGACAAAGATGCACTGGACTACCTGCTGAAACAAAGACACAAAATCTGACATTGAGATTTATTAAGTGGTTGACTTTTTATGCCGAAGGTTATGGCATCGAACAAATTCATGTTTTATTTTCACTGGAAATGCATCAAATGTAAAAACAAGAAAATTTAAATAGATGTAATTATTACACATTCTTTTTACAAGTACAGCTTATCCCTGATAAAAAAAATGACAATATAAAAGACATTATTTTGTTAATTATAATCACACTAAAAAATTGATATTTAAGTGTATTATTGAAATTATTAGCAGGAATGGTTATTAAATAAAGAAATATGTGGTATTTTGCATGGAGTCTTTCTGTAGAGAGACCATTGTATGAATGTTTTTCATTATTTTTGTGATGGAAATGGAGGAAGAGAATGCCTTGTTAGTCAGGCCCTCTCAACAAATAGCAATTTGATATAAAATCAATTTAGTTAAGGAAAAGTGATATTTTCCTTGTCTTTAAAAAAACGAAAAAATAATTTAGATCTACCCTTGCCAGATAAGTTTTTTTTTCATTAGTAAATTGCAAAAAAAAAAAAAAAAAAAAAGGCAAAGAGAGAGAGAGAGACAGAGAAAAAGGTACCATCCGATCCTAAAAATTAGCTGCTATGTCCATTTCACACCATATGATTAGAAAACAAAAAATTAAGACAATTTTAATTGACCTATCAAGTTAACGCTGCGTACGTACATCCTCATTGACTAACAACTTTGTCTACCAATGCAACACGAACATACTTGTCGTTTGTATTAACATTTTACTTTATCGAGTGAAGCTCTTTGTGTTGAAGCCATTTGAATGAAATATGCATAATAAATTTCCCATCTGCGAAAATTTTAGTGACTGATTAACTAATGGACACGCCTGGTTATTCATGTGTTTACTTTAAAAAACCGCGCCCATTTGTTGATGAGCCTGACATCGGTGACGTCACGTACGCATGCGCATATTGGAGACAATTTCTGGGGCGAGGTCTTATACATCTGAGTGGAAAACATCTATCTGTACAAATGAGTGACGAAGGGCAAGTGGAAATGAAATTGGATGAGTCGCAGGACTCATCTGGTTCAGAATCTACGCGGCCGATGATAGAGCTTTTTGTAAAAGTAAGTAAAATGGCCATATGCCACGTTATTTCCCTCCAAAATGGGTTTGTATCACATTGCAGTGCTAACGTTCATTGTGGCGGAGCCGTGCTGGCCATGTGGTGCCGATTCCGTGATCTGATATTCTCATGTCGAATCATTTAGAGTTAAATTTGTATAGTTCCACTGTCTTTATTAATGACAACTGAAAATGTAGATGAATTAAGGTCAAAAGTCATAAAGTTAACTCCCAAGCCGGTCACCTTGCTTTGTCCGCCATTTTTGTTTCTTGCATGGTCGTCATTCACTGCCTTAACGGAGACAGATTAAATGTTGCTCTCGATTCTCATATTGTCATTTAAATGTAATCTGTTTAACAAAATATTTAAGTAAATAGACAACATTTCATGTAATCTTAGTGTTTTGCGACTTTCTGGAATTAAGAAACGAATGACGTTATCGGGCCAAGCAATTATGCATTTGTCTGATTTATTACTAACACAAATATCAAGAAGCAGACTTCTGAATCACTGACGAGCTATTTACGTGGGTGTGTTGCTGTTTTATAGCCATATTTATGCTTATATTGAAAATGGGTCGAGTTTAGTTCTGGTTTGCAGTGCAAATGTTGTGTTGCTCTGCACTTAAGCTTAACGTTAAAAAAGGCATGAATTAATGTCCCTTTTGAGCACAATTAAAAAATCAAGATTGTATGAACAAAACAAGAACAACTGGTGGAATATACCCTTATATAGTGTGTTGCACCTTATGCCGTGGCATATTTGTGTTGATGGGCAGGTCTGCGTCTCATACGAACTGTGCGTGTGTATCTTTAAGGTGTGGAAGAACATCAAAATGTTATCTCCCCGTCCAGCATTGATGGCCAGTCTTATCAGGCCAAGTAAACATTGATATGGCAACAGTAGTTAGCCTTGGATGCTTACCTTCAGTGCATGTAGTTCTCACCACTTGTGTGTGATGTGTATGTTCGGTCTCCAATGATGGAGAGCAAGGGCACTTGTCAGCTGCTTCTTTTTCTACTTGACAGATTGTAAAAGTACTTTGAAGTGGTTTGATGTATCCATCCTTTGCATGCAAATGCCGATGGATATTTTTAGTGTTGTAGGGTAAAGGTTTTTGAGTGGTACGGTATAAAATGTTCTGAATAGTTTGAGTCTCCATTGTTAATGTATATATAAATAGTTCCCATTACAAGCTCCCTTTTTATCCCTGTTAGCTATATTTGTTGTCCCAACCCTATTTATTCTAAGCAGTGAGTTCTGTCAATGGTATTTTATGTAGATTTATACCGATTACCTGGCTGTCCTTTATCTTTCCTATGCTAGTAAGGACAGCCATCTTGAATATTCCATGGTTTGGTCACCTCTTCTGAATAGCTGTGAGGTGAGTGTTGATGCAAATATATCCTGTTTCAGTCAATTCCGAACAACAAAATGCTACTCACATCTCAGGCAGTGTGTTTTTAGCAACCCATTTGTGTGAAGGTCAAATTCATGTGTCAGTATGTTGGCAATGTGTGTCACTGCTATTCGGTGCCTGATATATTCTGGAATGGACTTGGTTATTAATGAGGTTGTTTTTTTTATGCTTGAAGGATGGTAAAGTGTTATTACCTGGATCATGCTAGCACATCTATGTTAAGAAAAGAAGTGAAAGATGTTCAGTGACTATTTCAGATGAATCCCAACTTGTTGATTGTTTTCTGTTACCAGATTACCCTTTTTGATTTTTGTTCTGAATTTTAGGAAGACTTCCAGTATATCATTATGTTTGCTTTGCACTGAATAATTCCAGTCTCTTAAACTTTCTTGGATACTGAACCATTTCTCAGGTTAGCAACTGTTGGGTTCTTCTTTAGAAGATGATTGCAATTTATCTTGTAACAGAAATATTGAGCATCTTAAGTTTATCTGTAAGGGGTTAATAATCCAAAAGGTCCCGTGTTGTGTCACATTTGTCATAATCAAGCATTAGTCAAGGCAAGACTGGCCTAGAAAGTCATTACCTAATTCCACTAATGGTTACTAGGAGGTTGAATCTCTGTTATGAAAAAATGTGTGGTATATTAAACAGAAATCAAGATATAACTAATGACTGCTTATTATGGGCTACTAAAGATGGTACAGTAATAAACCACGGAAAAAAGTCTGATTCCCTTGGACAGAGAATTTAAAGGAGTTATAAAAATGTTGGGCTCAATATTATATAAAGACACAAAAAATGTTTTAAAAATGGTGTTTAAAGGTTTCAGTTTAAGTTTTAAATATTGTTGAACTATCACCTGGGAAAAAATTGGTTCAGCATAGGATCACAATTGAATTTTGAAGTGGAAGAACAGACAAATCTCTTCTCATGACCATCAGTCATTGGTAATTGATAGTCCTTTTATAGAATGTTTATCATTTATCACGTCATGTTGAACAGAATTTTTATTTCTATTTCTTTTATAATTATTGTCATCATCGTCATTTAGTACTTTATAATATGAAACTTAGTTTCAGTTTACTGTGCAAATAAACTTGTCTATATAGTAAATGGAATCAACAGTAAATGCTTAACTGCATGATAATAAATTGCTTTTTGAAAACCGCAGGTATGTTGAAATATTTTTATTTCAACTTTTGACCTTATTTGTTTGGTGCTCTATTAATGTTTTTATTATGGAAATATGGATCTTGTCTGTTCATGTATTTGATTCAAATGCAATTGTGTTGAAGTATTTGTCTGAGTGCACTAGTGTTTGACTTCTCTCTGACCTTTTACTTATGTCCAAAATCTAGAAATTTTGAGCTTCTGCGTGCAATTTCCTTGTAGACAACCTAGTCATTTTATCTGTCTGAATGGTCACTCATTATATTTTTCTGTGTCCATACTTGGGCAGTGTCCTGAATTTGACGGTGCTGCATGCAGGTATTTGATATGAGTCAGTAAACTTAGTCTTTGTATTCATAACAGGTGTCATTATATGGTTGATAATCCCATCTTGGGTGCTATATATATATTAGCATACACAAAAGCAATTTGTACAGGATGTTTTTTTTTTCCATATATTTTAAATGTAATATCTTTCAACAGAGAATTGATTATTTTAACTATTTAAAGTATTTCTGTGTTTCATGTTGTCATACTACTTATAGAATTGCAGTAATTTATTTCTAAGAATAAAAAAACTCCCTGACTCAGAGGGACCTCCTCTCTCACTATATAACCTCTTGCTCTCTCTTCAAGTTGTGTCCACAAAGTATTGGCCTAAGTACTAACACGCAGGTTCTTAGTAATATTTAACTTGTACAACTTGTTGAATCCACAAGGTGCAAAACAAAGGCAGGTCTACCTGTGCTGGGACAGGAACCTGATAGCCCTGTCAGGCAGTTAGGCAAGCATACAGGGAACAATGATTGGAATGTCGAGTGAATTATGTGTGCTGCTAATGTAGAGCTGATCTTTCTTGCTTATGTGTGTTATTGAATGAATTACAAATTTGGCTCCAACACAGGTGTTGAAATCAGCATATTTTTAGATGTTGCCACCACTGTAGTTAAAGAAATTCTATGAACCCCACTCCCCATACATCTGCATTTTTTTAAAANGATATATTCTGGAATGGACTTGGTTATTAATGAGGTTGTTTTTTTTATGCTTGAAGGATGGTAAAGTGTTATTACCTGGATCATGCTAGCACATCTATGTTAAGAAAAGAAGTGAAAGATGTTCAGTGACTATTTCAGATGAATCCCAACTTGTTGATTGTTTTCTGTTACCAGATTACCCTTTTTGATTTTTGTTCTTAATTTTAGTTAGACTTCCAGAATATCATTATGTTTGCTTTGCACTGAATAATTCCAGTCTCTTAAACTTTCTTGGATACTGAACCATTTCTCAGGTTAGCAACTGTTGGGTTCTTCTAAGATGATTGCAATTTATCTTGTAACAGAAATATTGAGCATCTTAAGTTTATCTGTAAGGGGTTAATAATCCAAAAGGTCCCGTGTTGTGTCACATTTGTCATAATCAAGCATTAGTCAAGGCAAGACTGGCCTAGAAAGTCATTACCTAATTCCACTAATGGTTACTAGGAGGTTGAATCTCTGTTATGAAAAAATGTGTGGTATATTAAACAGAAATCAAGATATAACTAATGACTGCTTATTATGGGCTACTAAAGATGGTACAGTAATAAACCACGGAAAAAAGTCTGATTCCCTTGGACAGAGAATTTAAAGGAGTTATAAAAATGTTGGGCTCAATATTATATAAAGACACAAAAAATGTTTTAAAAATGGTGTTTAAAGGTTTCAGTTTAAGTTTTAAATATTGTTGAACTATCACCTGGTTCAGCATAGGATCACAATTGAATTTTAAAGTGGAAGAACAGAC